AACGATATTAACCTAGAGTTTATTCATCACTGATGCACTCCAAAAGGCAAGATGGACAAAAGGTGATTATTTTTCGGGTACAGCCATTGACTCTAGCTGCAATCAAGAGTTTACCTGAATCAAGGTAGTTAAACGAACTTCAAATGGCTCCCTATTAGATCAGTCAAATTAGTCAAGAATTTCCGTTCCCTAAAGCACACCACCAAACCGGGAAGGGGCAAAGGACCCAAACAAGCGTTGCTAGTCTGAACTCCATAAGAATTACACGAGTATTTATGTAGCAATCAATCGCGATGTGAGAGAGGATATTTGTATTTCTTTTAGTGATATGTTTTGGAAGTTGTTGGTCATGCTACTAGAACGACTTACCGCAAGCAGAGCAGTATTTAGGCTGCTAATCCTAAGAGCCAAAAAAGATTGTTAATCATAAGTTTGGCACAACCATAATTTACAAGCTCATTCTAGGGATATGCGTATTATTTGATAACATCTTACACAGCACAAAAGTGCACAAACACACTCCTAGAACCGAATACATTTCCTGTGATCAATATCTAACCATATGACGTTTAGTACTACCTCAGGCATTCATAACTTCAGCCACCAAATTGGCCATGTAACGCTTATAGCAACATGCCTTTAGAGAAAGTACATCTGCAACCAAGAGCAGGTTATGTATATAGTAGAAACTACCACCTATGGTGCGCCAGCAACATGCACGAGATATATGCCTCTCATGATGAGTAATGACATAAAAAATGTAACCAAGCAAGGAAATGTACCCCATCAAGTAGCAAACTGTCACATTTTGCAACACCAGAATGAGTAGTGCTCATCTTTGCGGTGCGCACTAACTAGACCCCCACACTGTAAGCAGACAAAGCTGGTTCCATCAGAGAATGCATCAAGCATTATCTGTTTTCTGCCAGTTTCAGCTAGTATTGAAGTTCCATCAACATCAACTTCAATTGGTTTATCCACTGTATTATGTTCATGTTCATAAGGCTGGGATACAGGAGGCATGGCCTCAGCAATGGCACACTCAGCAAATAAAGAAGCCAGCTCATCTGCAGCCACACTTGCCTGTACTTTATTTCTGTACAACTCCTGAGCACGATTAAGGGCTTGAAATACAGCTTGCTCACCGCCTTTGGTTCTCATGGCCATCACCACCTGTTACCTCATTTAATTAGTACCAAGATTAGCATGAACACAGACAGAAAACGAGAACTTTTCATAACACTATAATGTCAGCGAAAATCTGAATATATATGGTACAGAACTAATTGTTTTTGGGCGTATACCCCGCTAATTTTTGCAACTCAGAGTCATGAGGTCCATTTAACGGCTAAAAGCACCTTAACATGAGATCAAGATAACGGATACAAGCCAATGCTTTCATCTTCTTCTCCCACCCCCTTCCCCCCACAAAAAAAAACGCAAACGCAGAATCTCTATTCTCGCAAAGTGTAAGATCCCGTTTGGGTTGGCTTAAAAAAAATAGCTTTTAGCAGAAATAGTTTTTAAGCCAAAAGGCAATAAGTTGGGTTGCGCAACTTATTACTTTTGACTTGTTTTAAGCAGTTTTTAACTTATTTTAAGTATTTTTTTGACTTTGTCAAACACTGAAAAAAGAACTTAAAAGCTGATTTGATCGGCTTAAAAAACAATCCAAATACCCTCTAAGTGGTCCTTTAGCCACTTGTTTCCATGAGCAACCTAGCATAGATCTTATGCATGGACGTCACATTTCTTATGCACAAGCCGTTTGTCCAAATATTGTGAAATATCTCTAAATTACCAATATTTCAAAAGATTTCTTACAAATGGCTATGCATGAGAGGTTATAAGCAAGTGGCTAAGAAGACTAGCCAAATGATTTCATGTATGTTATGGACAAGTGACTTCATGGCCTATGACACTTGTCATGAGACCATTTTACATCTTATAATTAGCTAATCATAACCACATTATTTGCAATCATAAGCAATCATAAGTCTTCCTTCAACAACTCTCTCACCCAGTTTTTCAATGTAAGAATATTTCAAAAGATGTTTGACAAACGGCTTGTAGGTAAATCTATGCATAAGCTATTTTGTTTAAGTGGAAAATGGATATGGACGAGTGGTTTCATGTTTCGCTAAGTGGCAAGTGGACATGATCTTAAGTGTCTTGCCACTTAACATGCAGCCATGACAAATGGCATGGTCAGAAACATCTCCTCTTCTTATAAATACCCCATTTTTACTCCATCATGAACACACAAAATATTGGCCTAATTATGTCTTCTTCATGCCACACCAATAATTGCTATTCCTTTGTCCCAATTTATGTTTCATACTTTCTTTTTAGTCTGCCCCACAAAGAATGTCATACTTTCTTATTTAAAAATAATTTAATTTTTAAATTCCTACTTTACCCCTAATAAAATGAGTTACAGCCACACAAATATCTATGGCATATTTTAGATCACAAAATTCAAAAGTCTTCCTTTCGTTCTTAATCTCTGTGTCGAGTTAAGCACTGCCACATAAATTGGGACAGAGATTGTACTAATTATTACTCTGTCCTAATATCTACTCTCTCCAGCCTTATTTTCTATACAATCAACCTCCCTACAAACATTTAGCTACACTTATCTTTTCTTCTTTTCCACTCATAGGTTATTGGTTCTTATTTAAATTTTGATGTTCTGCTCCTTCTTCCGTCAGAGGAAGGCCTTTTTAATCCCGAGGAAACTTTTCATCCTGCGAAAATGATTTTAGATTGTTGGAAAGCAAGTGAAAAATAATCACTACAAATAATAATTTATTTATGAGGAGATAGACATGGAGCTTAAGTCATGTTAGGCATTGTCCTGTTTCTTGAGATAGTGTCTGCCACAACTCAAACTCCACATGTATCTTCTCATATATAAATATTGTCAATATGTTTCCTAACTTTCAACAATCTAAGAAACTATATCAGTCAGGATTAAACAAGCTTTCCTCTATGAGAAGGCAGGAAAAACAAAATTAAAATAACAATCCAACAAGTCAGCAAAGCAAAGAAAAATAAGAAAAGGGACAGTTAAGAGTTTATTCAAGAAAATAATCACAAGAAGAAACACCTGGTGTAAAGAGTTATTGAAGGATGCTTGTGATTGCAGAATAATGGGATTATAATTAGTTATTTATCATACGTGAAACGGCCTCTTATTATGACAAGTGTCATATACCATGAAGCCACTTGTTTGTAATCTCCAATGCATGAAATTAGAGACGTACGCAGAATTTTTCGTAAGCGGTGTCAATATTTATAGAAGAGAGGAGAATAAATAATATTAATTATCACATTACCTAACAAGAAATAGTCTTAGTTCATTGATTTTGTTGAATCTTAAGTTAGAAGAGGTCATGAGTTCAATTCTACCTATTTACATTTTTTTAACAATAAAGGCTCTCTCAAATATTTGCAAAAAAATTTATCTAGTTGAGGTTCGAACCTCTAACCTCTTAGAGCAAAATTAGGAACTTAACCAGCGTGCCAAGAAACAGTATATATCAAGTGGAGTCATTTCTTTTAAGTTATTATTTCCGTACGTATTACTACATATATCTCGTAAAAAATTTCAACGAAACGGTGTCGCATGATACCGCTTCGTTCCACGTGCATCCGCCCATGCATGCAGGGGCGGATGCAATGTGGCAGTTACGGGTTCAATTGAACCCATAACTTTCGACGCGGAGTAAAAATTTATGTGTTGTTCATTAAAATTGCAAAATATAGTAGATATGAACCCATAACTTTAAATATATAATGGGTTCAATGTTAAAAAATTTAAACTTGAACCCATAGATTTTAAATCCTGAATCCGCCTCTGCCTGCATGAAATCATTTGGCTAATCTCATTAGCCACTTGTCCATAACTTCTCATGCATGAACCATTTGTCAAATTTTTTTTAAAATATTGGCAATTAAGAGATATTTCAAAAGATTTGGCACAAGTGGCTTGTGCATAAAATGTGACATCCATGCACAAAATCTGTGTGAGATAGCTAATGGCCTTGAACAGTAAAATGCAGATAATTAATAGTAACACTTATCAGAAAATTTTAGATAATCCATACCACGTAGGCCTCAAACCTAAGGAGGTTTATGAGGTGACAAACTGACAATAACACCAGTACAGTATCTTTTTTACAGTTACACCACTACAAAAACTTTTTGTTCCTTAAATCTTAGGCATAGAGTACACTACAGAATCTTATATCATCCAGAAAACAGTATGGAATAGCAGATATGCTACTTCAGTTAAACTGGAACTGTTTGAGACATCCCAATAAAAAAACCTAACACTGCTGGTACTAAAAAGGGCAGCCCGGTGCATTAAGTTCCCGCTATGCGCGGGGTCCGGGGAAGGGCCAGACCACAAGGGTCTATTGTACTAAAATATTTAATGATATCTTAGCCCGGGGCGGTGTCAGTCGACACGGCTTCGACGGAAAATTGAAGTAAATATATGTATTAATACTGTGAGGAAACAGATAAGTAGGAAAAGTCTTGGCATGTTGGTGGTATGCCTGAGTTTGCTCTAAGAGGTCAGAGGTTCGAACCTTAACTAGCACATTTTTTTTTGGCAAATATTTGAGAAAACCTCTGTAGTTAAAAATTGTGACGAAGTAGAATTGAAATCTGGATCTTCTCTAACTTAAGACTCAACAAACCAATAGACTAAGACTATTTCTTGACTACAAGTATGATAATTAAAGTTATTATTCTTGTTCTTCTATAAATTTCGATACAAATTGCCATCTTAGCATGTTAACTACATTTCATTTCTCCTCTAATCATGTACTCATCCTTCATTGACATAAGCCAGAGTTAACAGGCAATGAGAATTCGCCACTGATATGGTGTCTTACCAAGCAGCTACCTGTATTGGAATATTTTGACTACATCCACCATTGTGCCTATTCAACCAGCTAAACTCTGAGAACATATCGATGAAGTGTCTAACAATCTAATATCCATCAACAGAGATGCTCTTAGTGAATCTTCAGTGACAATGATTACAGGATAGTGTACCTCACATTCCACAATAGGTAGGTATGAATCTCTTTCTTACATATTTCAAAAGTACTCTTGCAAAATCTACACAACTTCATAATGCCATTCCTAAGAGATACATGAATGTCAGAATGAGTAGCCTACAATCGTCAGCTAAATCCAAGTTATTACAGTGTACTTATCGTCTGTCTGGTTTACATTATACAAGTATCTGAGATTATTTAAATTGGTGATTAGTAAAGAGTTAAAATTATACCGGTTTAAAGTTGGTTATTAGCTAAAAAGTAATTTTCTGTCAAAATAACCTACTAATATTGAATATGATCATGAAAATTAGTATAAACCAAAAAGTTAAATTAAATATGCTAAAAAATGGCGACAAAAAACACTAGCATTTAGATAAAAATCCACCGCTCACTCAATAGTTAAATTAAGAGACAGTTAGCATTCATTTCCAGTTAAACAAAGAATTTAAAATCATATACTAAAATTTCAGAAGACGAGGCTAAAGGTAGGGAGAAATGAGATTACCGCTTGGAGAGCCTGAGAAGGCTTGCCTTGATCGATAAGCTGGCGAGCAGTAGTGAGCATGCCTCTAACGACGTCGTATTGGCCCGAACTGGAATGCAGTTGTGACGGTGGAGGTTGCGGTGGCGCCGCCGTGGACTCCGCCTCCATCATGTCAGTATCCGTACTGTCCATGGCATTTCAGTTGCACTTTGCGATCTGTACTTTCGTCGGTGAAGAAAACTTTATCTCTGACTCTTATTGTACTGAAGGGTTAGTATTTGATTGGAGGTATTAGTAAAAAGAAGAAGATAAGAGAAATGGCGAAGAGACAAGCAGATGTTTCTAGCAATTTCTGGAATATTTGCCCCTTCCCACCCCCCAACACTCATCTTTCCTCCTCGGCTCTTCTATCATCGTCCCCTTGGCTGATTGTTCTCTTATTGGGCCTTTTGTTTTATGGGCTTTTCACACCTAGGCCCAATTAAACTACAGTCCAGTGACCCATTAATCCATTTTTTTGTGCGTAAAAATTACATGGTATAGCTAATGTATACACTGTATTTAGCATACATAAATACACTTTGACATAATTATAATTCGTAACTATTCTTTGTATTTTGTAGCAAGGTAAATACAGTAAAGTCACATACAATGATACAATAATTGTATGTATCATTATATTTTAGTATGAATACAAATGATACATCCAATTAGATCGAATGAATACAAGAGATACAAGTTGGTAATAATAGAACAGTAGCTACAAATGATAATTAAACAAACTATATACATATGGTTATTAGGCTCTAAACTGTAGTGTTTTATAAAAATTCTTCCTATATAAAGGTAGGAAATTAGACAAAGAAAAAGTATATAAAGGTAGGGAAGACTCACATCTAATATTGAGGCATTTAATTGATTAAAGTTATGTATTGTTTGCCACTCCTCGAGGTCAAGTAGGCATATATTAACCTGAAACGGACGTGTGTTTAGTGTTAGATCGAATTGATTGTGTTGCTAACTTTTCTGCTACAGAAAAAGTTTGAACAAGGCGAACAATGGTGAAAGATTGCTAAATTCGAATTCTTGACACTATTGTTTAAATTAATTATGATCTTTCGGTGATCGAACTAATCATGCAAGGACACAATGACCCGTTACTTGATTACATAATATTTACATTTTCCGTGAAAACTAATATATGGTACCAAAGTTTATTGACTCGCACAATTTAGGAATCAACAATGATGAATAGTCGGAAGACTTTGTTTCCAACTTTAAGCAGATGAATAGGTAGTTTGGTAAGATTGGGAAATGGTATTATCGGGTATATGTGGTCCATGGTTATTTCTCATTTGGGCAAATGAATAGATTGTGATTGTTATTTGCTCATAGATATACATCAAAATCTATTTAAGGTAAGCTAAGAAAAAGTGAGTCATGAAATATTTAGTTATTTTGGTTAAGACATATATAGTGAAGGTACATGACAAAGGGACCATTGAAAAGGGAAATAGTTTCTTTCCTTTCAATTGTTATGTTGATTGGTGAAATATACGTTTCATCACATGTCATGAATTGTTATGTTGATTGGTGAAATATACGTTTCATCACATGTCATGAAGCATAACATTATCTGCTATAAAAAATACACCACGGCCATACTATATGCAAAATTCCCAAATCTATATCCACTCTTCATATTTATTAGTGTATAGTTCATACTTCGATTTTGGTTCATTATCAAATTCATTGATTGAAGTTAAGAACTCGTCAATTTATGTTGATAGTGGTTTTTTATCAACCTTGTCTATTTTTTGTTCAAATTCTTCATAATCAGTATTCCAAAAAAAGTTAGTATTCTAACGGTGCAGAGTAACAACATGCTTGCTAGGATTATATAACAACTTAAGATGATTTCGTTTGTTCAATTTTCCATTACAGGAACCAAAAAAAAAGGGGGGGGGGTTAAATGGCAGCTCAATTCGAGTGTAAAATACTGTGTGGTAGATGAGGCTGTCCACACCATATTAATTTGTTCATGGGTGAATATATTCATTTGTCCAGCTAACACAATTGAGTTTTACTTTACCTCTTTAACTATAGACACCTACTCACCTCTATCAAGCCACAAAATAATATGGTCTAATTTATTTTTTATAAATTCAACCTTCAATTACTGAATGAGAAGTAGCTCCAACAGCCAACTAGATGCCAAGTTGTATTTTTTCTTGAACTTTACTAGATGTGCATTAAATATTGTATCACTTTTACTGGAAGCAACTAAATTTGCTACCCTTTTCCGTAAAATTATTATGATACTCCCATCTACTACCATGATTCAATTTATAACATCATGAATTTTTCTAAGAGATTATAGAGAAAATAAATCAACTTAGACTCTTGAAAAAAGAAATTGGGATACCCAATGTGAAATAATGGGATAGTATTTAAATAAGACGAGTTACTTATGAACATGCTAACAAAACTAGTCTTTAATTTCCCCCAAACTAAGAGCTCCAAAAGTTAAGCAAATGAAAATCCGTATATAGTCTTGATGTTTCTGCCTTTTTAATTTACCTTTTTTAAGCTTTTCTTTGAACAATCGTTGAATCGAGGGTTTATCGGATAAGGTCTGACTACATATTATCCCATATGGGATTCCACGAAATTTGTTGTTGTTGCTTTTCCAATGAACAATCAACGGTGTTTAGAATATAATACAGATTTAACTTTATAACAAAGATTTAGTAACTAAAAACTAGGAGGTGCCAGTGAGGAGGTCCATATCATGACTATCTTCCATTATTACAGATTCTTTGATCTCTTGTATCATCTTTAACACTTGCCACATTGTAGGTCTTTGCTCTGGTGAAGTCACTCTACAAGCCATAGCAACTTCTAGAAGCATTTCCAACTTATTATCTTCTCCACTTCCGTCATGATCTTCTCTAGTAGATTTCACCCAATGGATCATATCATCTGGCATTAAATATGGATGTTCTGAGGGATGTTTTCCTGTTAAAAGCTCAAGCAAAAGAATGCCAAATGAATATACATCGGACTTGGCACTGGCTTGGCGTTGCTGGTGGTGGTTGTGACTCAACTTTCGAATTTCTGGAGCTTTGTAGGCTGCAGAATCGGGGTCGTCGTCGTCCGAGGGGATGGCGAGGACCGAGAGGCAATAGTCGGCTATGCAGGCCTCGAAATCGGAGCCGAGGAGGACGTTAGAAGACTTGAGATTGCCATGAACAAGCCTCCATGCTTGGTGAATGTAGGAAAGTCCTTGAGCTACGTCCTCGGCTATTTTCAAGCATGAAGTCCAGTGAAGTGGCTTTGCTCTTGATGACTTGGAACCTGAACACGTGGCACATTGACCAGTCAAAGTACGTTTCAGATGCCACGTCAGATTGACCAAGTTTTGAAAACTAACTAAATTCAACAAAGAATCAACCTTTGCATTAAATATGCGACGGTGGTACTGACTACTGAACACTATTCTTTATTACTTTAGCAATGCCGAGTGCTGACCCCCACAATACTATTAACTTCAAGTTACGCAATCACACGTGAAACATAATTAAAGTTACATTCTTAAATCAGATTAAATAAGTTTAATAACACTACTACCTATGATTAGGACACTAAACAAACATAAAAGTATTTTACGAAGACAGAAATCGGTTTCCAATGTCGTCAGGGTCAGCTGCAAGATGCTCTGTGTCTGTGAAAACCTTGGGTTGAGGAACTGCAAAAATAGGAGTACAACCCTATTTGATTGAACAGGGTGGCGGAGGTAGAAGTTGAGCCAAAGATTCAATCGAATCTAAAATATTTATTAACTTTTGTACAAATTCGGTTATCATTAATATTTATCGTTTTAAAATTAAGAACTCAGTAGCTCTGACAACATACTAAAGTATTGAATTACTTAATTTATTTGTAGAGTATATAAACCCACCTCTATAATTACAATATTATTCGGATAAGGCAATTATAAATAAACAAGGAATCCTTCAGAAGAAAGCTTTCATCAGTGGGGCACCTTTATAGGTATTTGAAATTCTTAGTACCATTTTATGCAACATCTTTTATTTTAAATTAATGTAAATCTTTACATTTCATTTTGATGTGAATTTTTTCCACTTCAAACTAATGTCTCAATGAAAAATATCATATAAATGAGAGCAAATGTAATACTGCTCAAACTCTTCCTTACTTGTCCCCGCTAATCTCCCACCGTCCAATAAATGAGGAATTAAGAGCAAATGGAGAAGAAACGTACCATGAACAAGAGAGAACAGGCTACCATTGGGCTGATAATCATAGACCAAAAGCCTTTCTTCCCTAGCCTGAAAATAAGCCCGAAGTGGAACCAAATTCGGGTGTCTAAGCCCGCCCACTGATTCCATATGCTGCTCAAACTCTTCCTTACTTGTCCCCGCTAATCTCCCACCGTCCAATCTCTTCACACAAACAATTAAACGGTTATCAAGCACAGCTTTATAAGTGGTCCCCATTGTCCCTCTACCCAAAAGCTCAGCTGAAGCTCTCATCAGCTGCTCCAGCGTATACACCTGCACCTCACCTGCACAGAACATTAAGCTCCCACTTTTCCCAATCACTTGCTGCATTCCTTGTTGTACTCTTTTCACCTTCTCTTCTAACTCATTATTGTCTTCTTCAATTCTCATTACAGCTTCTGCATTGCCACTAACACTTGGATCAAATGCACCTTTCTGGGTTTTTTCACCCAGTTTTTTCGTCGCTAATGCTAATAATATTACTGAACATATAAGTATTAAACAAGCTGTTGAAACCCCAATAATAAGTAAAGATCTTTTATGGGTATTTTTTTCTTTACGGTTTAAAGCAACCCCATTTTGTAAATCCTCGTTCTGACCGAGTTCTGCCGGAGTTTTCGGTGGCGGCGGTGTAATTTTGGTGGCGGCAGCCGTGGAAGGGCTGAAAAAGGGTTGTATTGCACGGCATTCTTTGTGTATGATTTCGCCACAAAGTCCTATATTATCTGAAAAGGATGCCGTTTTAAACCGGGATAGTGTCTTAGTTACTGGAATAGGACCGGACAGGGTATTGTGAGAAATGGTAAAGATTTGGAGTGAAGATTGGTTCAGCGGTGGGACTGAACCGTTTATCCGGTTTGAGTCAAGCCGGAGATAGTACAACCGGTTCAAGTTGTTGATAGAAATGGGTACTGGACCGGTTAGATTGTTGTAGGACAGATCAAGAGTTTTGAGCCTGTGAAGAGTAAAAATAGAAGGTGGTATTGAACCAGTGAAAAAGTTATGGTCAAGAAAGAGAACTTTGAGATTAACAAGGGAAGAAAGATCAGGAATGGGACCAGTAAGTGAGTTATTTTGCAGACTCAA